ACGCCGCACGGGTTTCTTCCGCTGTAGAACTACCCCCGTGACACAGAGGCAATGTAAGGGTTAGCAGCCTGAAGGTCGGTAGCCCTAGCCAAATGTAGAATGAGAATTAAGAATTGTGGTTCCATCCCAACAAACATTGCACAGGTGGTTGTTGGCTTACCATTCTCAATCCATTCTTCACCAACTTCATATTATCAGACTCATAGTCCAATGTACGAATTGCTTACAAGCTGTATCCATGTTTTTCATGAACACCGACGTGGACAATTCCAGAGCAGGTGCAAAATAGGCAATTCCGAAAAGAGGACCCAAACCATAAGAACCACGAGCTCCTTGTAGCCGCTCTTTTATATACCGGAATCGTTGGCAATGCTCCTAGATCGGAGCTCCTCATACAAGTGCTCATAAGTCATAAGCAGCAGGGATATGAGGGACATGCCATCGCCAGTGATGGATCCGGAAAAAACTCACCTACAAGGTTCTCACATTGAGATAGAGTTCCGAGAGCGGCTTTGAATCCTTTGATGTGTCGATGGCAATTCTGGTGAGATCAGAGATATAGAGGTAAAGGTGTTAATGGTATTTGAAAATTTGATTTTGAATTTGATATTCGATATAATCGGATTGAATTTGGATAATTTGAATATTTAATTGGTCGAATTTGGATATCTTATTCGCATCGAATAGTTAATCGGATTTAAATTCGGATATGACCTGATTCGATTCGATAAATATCCAAATTCGACCAATTATTTAATTATTATATATAATATATAATATATTTTACATAATTTATATATATAATAATTAAATTATATAAATAATTTATATATTTATATACTTTATATCAATAAAATATTTATTTTATATATTTATTAATTATCTAAAATAATTAATTAATCGAATTTGAATTGAATCGAATCGAATATTCAAATATTTAATTTCAATACCTGTCAAGTATCAAATCGAATTCGGATATCAGATTTGCTAACTAGATTCGAATTCTGATATTGCCTAATCCGATTCGAATTCAATCCGTTTACACCCCTACATATTGTCTTCTAGGACCTGGTCTAGCAACTCCATGTTGGGGTCTAGCTCTGGAACGATAACGTGGTTCTCCAGGTCCACCTTGGTTCGAAGATCGAACCCATTACATCTCCCGATTCTCCACACTCTTTCCTCGCTGGCCACCAACATTTTTTTAGGGTAAAATACAAAAACCTCACTTGTGGTTTCTAACAATCATAAAAACCTCCCTTCAAGTTTTACTTTAACAAAAACCTCCGTTGAACTTTTGGAAAACTCTACACATACCTCCCTTTCGTTAGTGAGTCAGACGGAAAACACTCAACGATGCATTAATTTTTGGGAGAATTACTGATAACCCCATAGTCAGAATTTGTAGACTCAAAGTACATTTGGGATAGGTGCCAACTCGAAATTGATGCCAATTCACAGGTAGATATGGTGAATAGAATGTGGTTTTTTGACCTTCTAAACGTTTGTAGCTTTGTAGTGAGAATAAAAAACCTGCACTAGGCCTATCCGTACTTTTCCATTAATTTTTTCAAAATAACCATCCTACCCTTTAAAGGATTCTCGAGCCCAGTTATCATTCTCACATGACATGAAAACGTCATTCCCACAAATTAAAGATTTGAAGTATGTTAGACTATAGGCAATAGCACCAATAGGCTAAATTATGTGCAATGCAAGTTCCTCATGTTGGTAATCTAAGAAATATGTAGACCATTCCTGTGTGGTGGTGTCCCTCTTTCTTTCAACCTTCTTCCTTTTTTATTTTTTGAGAGAGATGTTGAGGTCAGCCTTGCCAAGCTCCAAGGCAAAGACTTCGAATACTACATGCAAATCTATTCCATAATCCGTGGCAAGAACAACAAGAAATCAACTATGGACGTCGACCTCGCCAGCCTCAGCGGCATCATGAACATCTCCCACATCTTCTACGATTTCCAGCGATGCCGCTTTGCCCTCAGAGTTGTTGGGAAGAATGGATGCTTCATCAAAGGCATCCTCCACCTCCCCAGTAACCATCCCGTCAAGCTTGACTCCCAAGACCTTCTCTAGATTGGCAACAAGAAATTCTACCTCCTCTTACTGTCTACAGCATCCTTGGAAGTTCTCTGCCCGCCACACCCCTCACGCTCCTCCATCCCTTCCGTCATCCGCTACACATCTGCCCTCTGCATGGGTTGCGCTGCCTCCACCACCGCATCACTCTTTCAAAAAGGGGCGGGGTAGGGCGTCAAGTGATTATTTGGGCGATGACGAGGAAGAGAACAATAACACTGTGGTTGTTGGTGCTAGCAAGAAATTATGGAGAGAAGGGCATGAAATGTTTGGATATGGCGGATCGAGAGGAAAGACAAGGTCATTTGGACAATTAGAGAAAAAGTTAGAAATTAGGTCAAGAGCTACTATTCTTTCTGATCTTTGTGGTCCAGGAGAATAGATGCCCATGGCAAAACTTTATTTTGATCTTGTAGAGCAATATGGAAATATCTGGCATCAAAGGACCGGCCTCTCAATGAATCCAAGGGAAGGCTATGGTTTGGACTAAGGAATATCCAAAACATTTTGTCATCAATACACGGTCCAAGGGGCGTGTAACGTTAGAGTTTGTCTCCTTGGTGTCCTTGCTTTGTTGCCTTAACTTGCATGGCCGAGTATTTCCAATGTGATTCTTCCTGAGGCATGGCATCGGTGACCCTCAACCCCTTCTCTCTGTTTTTTCAATAACTGGTATTCTTAATTTATGGGTTGCTTAAAGGAAAAGTCTCCTCCTCAAAAAAAAAAGTGTAATTAATTATGATGGGTAGCAAAACCACATGTGATAAAGATAGTAAGAAATCATCATCCCTGTTCTCCATCTTGAGCATCTTCAAGTGTTAGAAGCTGCACAGCAAGGATGATGTAGGTGTCGAAGCAAGAAACAAGGCACAGCTGCATCGCAGTGATGAAGACAGAGGGCATTGGGTGGGTGAACCAGGTATAGACGAGAAAGCCACATAGTTCATTACAAAGTTGTATGCAACCCACATCTCATATATCAAACGACAAATTGTTAAAGTTCGATAGATTGACTCAGCAATCAAGGATGGAAGATTGAAAGAAGAGGAAGAAATTGGCAAAGAAATAACATGTCGATAGGGGTATTTCAGTAAAAACAAATGTAAACCATTTGTAAAAGGGGAAAGTAGGTATTTTGGGAAAAATTGATTCACCGGTTTAACATTTTCCGAGAAGGGAGGTTTTTGTTGTATTCTTTAAAAATCTAAAGGAGGTTTTTGCTAAAATTAAACTACAAAGGAGACTTTTATGATTATCAGAAACTTTAGGGGAGTTTTTTATATTTTACCCATCTTAAAAAATGAAACAAAAAATAACGTATGTAGATGTTTATGGCAGTGCAATTGTTTCAATCTTTTCAGATTGTAGTCCAATTTTGGGGGTTTTATCTTATTGAGACGATGGAGTTTAACAGGGTTCCTCTCTCAGAATAGATGAAATTTTTGAATAGGATTCCTCTCTTGGGGATGATGGAGTTTAGGAATAGGATTCCTCCTCTACTTCACAAGCCTCCACATTGTTCAGAAGACCTTTGAGGACTGCCAAGCTATGAGCTATGAGATCCATACTAAGAGGCTTTCGTGTTCCCATCAACAAGAGAGATCTGTCCATGGACTTCGGCTTCTTGTATGTAAAAATAATTTACAAAAGGGGAAAATTGATATTTAGAAAAAATTGATGAAGGAAGGTTTAAATTTCTGAAAATTTCAGGAAAGGTATTTGTTACAGTGAAATTATAAAGGAGGGTTTTATGATTGTAGGTTTTTGTATTTTAAAATTCCTTTGCCATAAAAAATTACCCCCCCCCCCCCATTGTAGAGTTTTAGGAGGCCAATATCAAGAGTCCACCCAACTTCTTTCTTATTATGCTACGCTGCTTCTAATGTCACTTCACTGTCTCTCAGAGATTAGACAACTCTTCGAAAGTGAAAACAACTCTTACTTCCTCATATTACAGGTAGTTTGAGCCTTGGAGGTTTTAAAAATATTTTACCAATCATATAAACTGGTTCAACTTTCGAAGGGACAAGGGGATGTATGTATGTGAAAATTTGATTCGAGGGGGTTAAAAGCATTTTTAAAAATTAGGGGAGGTCATTACTTTTGCAATGCCAAACATAGGCGTGATGAATAAAAATTTTACACTATAAATTAACACATCTGTGCTTAATGCTTATACCATTATTAAAATCCATGTACAGCCGTACAGGACGATTACTTGCTTTTTGGGTTCACCGAGTCGCTTTATAAAATCTTCAGATCCCTGTGCTCTGCTTCTCCACTTCCGACTGTGGCTTTACATTTGGTTTGGAGTCTGCCTCTGTTCCCTCCTTTGGTCTCTCCTGTCTTCCTCGGCTATCGTTTTCGTTGGATCGCTTCTTTCGTTTTTAAGAGAAGGAATCAGAGCACTTTTCTTTCATATTTTTTCTCGGAACCTGGGTTTCTCCTTGATTCTTTTCATCGTAAGTCGTTTGATCTTGTTTCTATTGTTCCTGTGCTTTTGCAATGTTTTTTTTTTTTTTTTTTGTTAGTTTGTTCAAAATTTCGCTTTTTTTTTTTCTGTTATTGCAAGTTATTCCCTCCACCCCCACCCCTACCAAAATAAGAAACTGGCATTTTTCTTTTTATTCCTTCTGAATATATTGGGAACTTTTTTTGTGAAAGGTTTTCGCTATACATGGTGCTTGATCTTTGAGGTTTTTTGGTTAACTAGATTACTTATCTCAATTGTACTGGTTTCTCTTTTCTTTTTCTTTTTTTTTTCTTTTTTATTCAATTCTTAGATAAGGTTTTGCGGAATATAATTTCTCATAATTTTTTTTCATACTTACATTGGCTCTTGATGTGTTGCTAGGGAAAAAGATCTGGCTTTGTTCCCAGGATTTGCTTTTGAGATCTGATTCTAAGAGTACTGGAACAGGAATTTCGAATGGTAGTAGGAAGAGGACGACCAGAATAAACAGACGTGGCTACTTCTGTTAATCAGTTTTCCAGAGAGGGAGAACAGCATGCGGTGGCTGAGTCTGTCCGTCGATGTGTTCCGGAAAGTTGTCTCTTTACACCTGTATTGTAGAGTTATTCTGTAAATCTTTCCCATAACTAAACCCTAATTTAGCTCCCTTACCTTCTTTTTCACTGTCCATGGCATCCGATCTCTTTGTTGTCCTCCCAAGCTATATCCGTAAGATTGGCTGAGCAAACATCCTCCAAGAAATTTAAAGACAACCTTTTGCTAGTTTCATTCTGGGTCAACCCATTTTCTTTTAAATCTATTCTGTTAATCTGTTCTTTTTAGTTTGGCGTCTTTATTAGTCTTTCTGTCTCTCGCTCCGTTTCGTTCTGTTCTGTTCGGCTTTTATCTAGTATTGGGGTAGGTTGAGGGATTCTTCAAGGGTCGAGAGAAGTTATGGTGTGCCAAGCAGCTAGCCAAACACGATTCCGAGCGTTGAAACACGAGAATGGGATTGCAGGGAGCGCGACCATTATTGTTAGAGTCATAGCTTGCTTTCAACCTTTGCAGGATTGCCAGGTTAGTGTATATATATAATCGTTTTTCCCCCTGTAGCCAATTGAGCTGATTTTGATATATTTTTTTAACCCAGTAGTTCTATGATATCTTGTTAATGGTCACTGGTGACTGTAAATCCTTGATACATTTATCAGACTGTAATCTTCTCTATTGATGATGGGTGTTCAGACTTTGAATCTTACATTTTCTTTCAATGTTTGGCAGGCCGAATACTTCCGTCACCTGCTTAAACCTGTTACGTAGATTGCTTCCTCGTTTGCTTTCTTTAAAATTAAACTGGAGGCAGTAGATATTTTCTGTAATCTTGAAAGGTGGCACTATTAATCAAAGTTGCTGATAACCTGATACCGTTGTCATCTGTCTTCTGGTGCGTTTTGCAATGTTTTAATTTTAGAAAAATAATATTAATTGAATTTGGCTATTTGATCTTTGTGGTTTTCGCAAGTAGAAACAAGTGATGATGTATTGTGTTTTGTACCTTAGGTGATTGCTTCGTGTGAATGGGAAAGGACTACGATTTTTGGCTTCTCCACCAGCATTCTGCTTGGCAATCACCTAATCTGAATTGCTCTAGCATTCCGGTGGATCCCAGCCAACAAAATACTTTCCCATCTTTCATAAACCCTTACGCGTATATGGTTTCTGCAAATGGAGCTTTGCCAGGATTTGAAGTTTCTGGGTTACCTCACTTGAAGATAGCCCAGGCAAATGAACGGCATGGGTGGTTTTATTGCTTACCACGCTATCGCCAGGCCTTTGTTCCAAGCCCGAACTATGTTTCTAAAGACAAGTATTCTGCTGATCCAAATGGAGCCAGTGGTGACGCCACAGCCAATGTGGTATCTGGGTCTGTTGAGAAGAGATTACTTGTTATTGATCAGTCTAGTAATAAAACGAACTTGATTTTTGGTTCTGTGGTTGGTACTTCTATGCACCATCCAAGTACCAGGACTCCCAAACCTGAAGAAGCATTAACTGAAAGAAGCCCTATCTATAACCCTGGTCCCCTTGTCTCCAGTGGCTTGGATGGCAATCAATCAAGTGCTGACCAAAGTGAGATGCAAGAAGATACCGAGGAACTTAATGCGTTGCTATATTCTGATGACGAGTATGAAGAAGAAGATGATGATGATGAAGTGACAAGCACAGGTCATTCCCCTAGCGAAATGACAGTTTATGAGAGGCGGGATAAAATTGAAGGAAGCACAGAGGAAGTGGCTAGTTCAGCTGGACCAGCTAAAAAAAGGAGGAAGCTATTTGATGGAGAGTCATCAATCATGGACACTGCAAGTTCTGTAAAACCCAATGGATCATGGGAGTATGAAAGTGATGCTGAATCAAGCCGTGTAAATAGAACAACAGGCAACAAGAGATCATGGGAAATGCACCACTTATCAGGCGATATGCAGTTGAGGAAGGAGAAGATAAGGGAGACAGTGAGCATTCTGCAGAGCATAATTCCAGGTGGGAAGGGTAAAGATGCCATGTTGGTTCTTGACGAAGCAATCCAATACTTGAGGTCTCTGAAACTCAAAGCCCAAGGTTTGGGAACTAGTACTCTTTAAGTAGAAAGACTTAAACCAGTGGTGGCTACAGAAATTGTGTTCGGTTTGTTCTTTGTAGTGTCTTAGTAGTGGGAAAACTGGTTTGTACTTCGTAGTTGTACAAAGGTTATGTAGACTTGAGGATGGTTCATGGTTGTGGATTGGATTGTGCAGGATAAGAATTCCCAATATGAAAGACGAGGGAGGCAGAAAAAAGGGAGGCGGGAGTGATGGATTTGTGTGATTGAGTTTGGAGTCGGTTGTTTTTTGTCTTGGAGATCTCCATTCCCACTCTGCCTTGCATTTAGAGCATGATTCGTTGGGAAGAAGTTAGAGAAGGGAATGCTGTTTTATTGTTCACCGAAGAAGGAAAAAAAAACACCCTTTGTCGTATGCTGTTAGAGTTTGAAGGATGGAAAGAACTGAGGGACTGAAAGTGGTGGCAAAGTTGATGAGGAGTCGCCGGCGACCGAGGAGAAGGGTGGGGGGCCGGGTATGGAATATTAGTATTAGTGCATGCGTGTTTGGTAAGTCGGGACCCAGTGTTGTCAACCTCTTTTTGGGGCCATGTCGGTCATGTTGAACTGTCCGAGATTAGATGGCCTTGGTATAGAAAATTAGGATGGTGTAAACTGTAAAGAAAAAAAGGAAAAAGCGATAAAGCAGAAAGGTTTGTGTTTATGGGTGACGGAGTAAGGAGGGCACAAACACAAACGCGAGGGTTGAGGGGTCTCCATTGTTGTGCGGGGCTCACCAGTCACCACCGACGTCCCGTCCGACCATCAAATTATGCAATTTACAGTGGTATCCTCCATCGATCATAAGCCTTATCAGTATTCTCCGTGGTATCACGTGTGACCGTGGAATGAAAGCGCCAGCTGCTGCTACTACTATTGCTAATGTTTAAAATGGGTCTTCTCTTTTGCAAGGGGACCCAGCCCTAGGAGTCTGAATGATGTCTTTGATGTGTTTTCTTTTGGTGTTTTGTGTGTTGTTGCTAAAGACTACTGCCGCATGTGGTTTGTTGGGTCTGTGGTAACACTAATAATAATTAACGCGGGTTGTGTTAAAATGGTCATTGATGGATGATGTGGTGGACTCGTGGGCTGGTGGGTGGTGGGTGGTGCTGATTGGAGTGTTGATGAGACAGCGGGGGTTGTGTTGGGCCATGGATCACACTATTCACTGGGTTTGGGATTCCTCTGTAGTCTGTGTACGCATTCACTCTTTAGCGTTGTCTTTATGCTTCTCGCATGCACGCTTACGAGTTATGAGCTTGAGAAAACGATGTATGAGATTTTCTCTTTTTCGTCTGGTCGGAGTTTGGAGAGAGAAATCACAAACCATTTGATGCCTTCCACTTGATTTCACTAGTCTTGTCTCCTATGCCCGAACCAACACCCTATATGGTCACGGTGTATTACCATTAATTGCAGTTAAATTGTGCACCCACCGGTAATCTGAGTATGCAACAGACATTATGATCGAAAAAATTGAAAATTTTAATCAATTCCAGAAGTTCGTTGGACAACCAATACCAGTTTGTTGGCCGCTCCTCTTTTTCTTAGTTAGGGTCCCGCACATTACATCAGTCATCAGGTAGAGACTACTATGGAGAAAATGGACACGAGAAAGAAAGAAAGTGATCTCTAATTTCAAAATAGCTCAAAACTGGTAGCCCGTAACATCAACGAATATTTCAAGTATCAAAATTCAAAGATAGATTTTTTTTTTTCTTCTGACAATTTGATGAAAGTTGTTTAGCTAGTGCGATTAGCACTTCAGAACAAATAAACCTTGTTTTATGTCAACTGGTGGCAGCTAACTGGCAAAGGGTACATGGGGAGGAGTCTTATCGAGGCATTATCTGTGCGTAGTGATGGTAGCAGGGTGGGTTGGGCAATGGGGAAGGGCTTTGTAGATTCTACACCTTCAAAAACCGCAGTTGGCTGGATTTTCGAATCCAAACCCTCCCTTCATTTTAGGGTGCAGTAGGTTGGTCCATAACCTACATCTAATTTTGTTATTTTTTCTTGTATATAAATAATAAATCAGAAAAAAAATATATGAACAAACATTAAGATTTCTAATTATTTGATAGAAACATGTAAAATACATATCAACTATCAATTATCTTGTTCAAAACATTATTAAATTCAATATATAATACATTAGCACTAGGGGTAATAGGGGTTATGTATTAATAATTTAGGTATCGTTTGACAAGTCTTTCTTGAAAGATCTGTTAAAAGACATAACGGGCTTTTACATAAATATTTTGACAGCCCACAGAGCGTTTGGTTGTAGATATATCTTTCCGCGTGAAGATGAAAAAAAAAACAAAAGTGAAAGCTTTATTTGGAGTTTCCCTAAAATAACCTCCCATTTTCGAGTCTTTTCAATACAGTCTTTTGATGGCTAGATCTTCCCACAACTAGACTAGAAAAGATGAAAATATGGGCTGCCATGCTTCTAAACAGCCAACAACCCGTGTGAAAAAACACACCAAATGGGACCTTAATTATAAACAATAAGGGTATCTCAGTAAATCTAATATATGAATACCCGCCAGATGGATGGCATTCCTATCTTGCCAGCTCGAAAATTCATATAAGATTCAGAATTTTTCATTGAATGACCGATCTAGCAAAAATTTTCGGGGTAATACAAGTGAATAAGGTTACAGAAAATGGGGATAACCTAACACCTTACTTCATGGAAAATTGTCTCGGTAGTAATTGTTTACCAAAAAGAGGTTGTAATTTCCCATTACTTTTTTATTGTTACAGGAGAGCAAGTGCTACAAAATTCAAAAATCTGGAGATATACTAATCAAATGTCTTTTCACACGTGTTGTTATTCAAACCTTTTTTTTGGTAAGTTGTGTTACTCAATCTTCAGTTCTTATCTATGCATCCATCATTCTTGTCTTCCCTTTTGTTATAAAACCTGGTTTCCTTCTCTAAACTGGTTGGTTATAGGCTATACTTATTGAAATATTTGCATTTCTTGCTTTTTTTTTCATGTGTCTTTAGCAAGTTGGGACGAATCACTACAAAATCTGACTCATCCGACCCAATTATACATACATCTAAAACATTAAAATTTATATAAACTATTATATTTAAGGCTGTCAATGGACTCAAAAGTCCGGTTTCCCATTCAACTCTCAATCCAATTGCTTTTTGATTTAGACGTTAGAATTTGCATCCAGTCAATAATCTGTGCACTATGGACGTGATCTTAATTTTTCAAGATTAATTATTTTTAAATTTCATTGCATCAGAAATAGCAAAGGTTCCACTAGAATCTTTCATGGGCTGTGTTACTCTAAGGTCAGGTTAAGGGTTTGGTTGGGTCTAGCCCTCGAGGTTGTGTTTGGTTTGAAGGAAAAGGAAGGGAACCTCTTCATTAATTGACTTAATTTCCCTTCCTTTCTTTCAAACCAAACACAGACTAGGGTTCGTGGTACCCTTACCTCATAATGGGCTTGGGTTGACCGCACCTCAACTGAACCCGGCCCAAATTGTTCCCCTTGATTTGTCATGGTGGTGGTGCAATCGTGCCTGGCAAACACTTTACGTTGATGAATCTCTTTCCAGATAAATGTTGTTGAAGTTATGATAATTGCCTAGTTTAGCAGCTTTCCATGCAGCAGGAAAATAAGTAAATAACTTTAGCCACGTCAACTATCTTGATTCTTGAATCACAAAAATCTTGGTTGGGTATCCCACAGGTTTCCCCTAGAGAGTAGAGGCCAGAGTCACACACCACTACGTAGAGCAAACTCACCTAATGCGCCAACTTTATCTTGACCTTTGATTGCTTTTCACATAACCATTATGGTATTGTTTTGTTTGATTTAATTTCCTCAGGCTGCATTTGGAAACAATGCAAATAAGTGTGAATGCAAATATGTAGAGTATAAAACGGTTCATATAAATTATAAAATTGGGTTAGTTTTGCACTGATAAATTTATCTTCTTACTAAATAGATTTAAGCTCAGTTTAGAACCAGTACAAATGCAAATATATACAACATAAATGCATACAAAATAATACAAAGTATAAGGTTTTGCACTCTACATATTTGCATTTGTACTCCTTCCAAAAATCAGACTTGGCTATAATGGATGCAAACATGAATTCCAATAAAGCATATGCTTTTGTTCTTTTATCAAAGGCCCACTTGAATGCAAATTTACTTCTTTTTTATTGATGTCCTTTTACATCTTATTGTCAATGTAAATATGCATTGATCTGTCATTTGTCAATGCATAAATATAATGTTGCCAAACACAGGCAAAAGTGAAACAGAGTGCAAATTTACCCTGAACTGGGATTTACACTCCATTTGTATTGTTTCCAAACGCAGCATCAGGATCATTTTCATGAATTGGGATTTGCTCCACACTCCGACCTCACAGCCTTATCCCATCGTGTACGAGAGATGTTCCCAATGTGCGAGACCAAATCTGCTCCTCACACAGGGCACCTTACACCGACCTCACACACACATCCTCCCATGCATTGGGCACATCTTCCGTACTTATAAATTATTATTCATGGGAGATGTTCCCAATGCACGGTGGATGTCGGTGTGAGGCGCCCATATGTGAGGAGCAGATCCTATCTCCTGATGTGCAGCCAGGACATGCTGTGAGGTTGGTGTGAAGACAAGATCTGGACTCCATTTTTATATACTTTTACATCAGGTGAGCCTGTGCAAGGTTCAAAAAATTGTTACGTATCGGCCTGTATCGGCCGATATGTATCGTATTGGGCCCTTCCCGATACGCCCCTATAGGGGTTGTATCGGGTCAGGGCCTGGTTCAGAGGGTAGCCTGGACTTAAACCGGCTCCTCTGAACCAAAACTGGAAAAAAAAACTGGAAGTTAAAAAAAGGGCCGATACTAGTCAATATCGATACTTTGAACCTTGAGCCTATGCGATGTATGGAAAAATCTAATTTTATGTTAATTATAATAAATTTCTTTTAATTATATATTCAAAATTAATAGTAATAAATTACATAACAAATTCAGTTAGTTGAATTAATTAATGAAAATTACTGTAAAATAATTATATTTTTAAAAAGAAAAATATTAAAAAATAGTAAGAGAAAAATGAAAACAATAAATCTAGGAATTAAGAATTATATTTTATTAATGGCAAATTACTTTAACTAAATTGGTAATTACAAATTAAATTTAAATACAGTTATATTAACATTAGTGCTAATTATATTTGACCCAACCCACCAATCAAAGACCCGATCCACCAACCTAGATGACTTCATTGTCCTCACCCGACAACGTTGCTATAATGTTCGCTGTCTCGCTGAAAGCAATCACAGTAGCATGTCAGGGTGGACCATCATCGCTATCCAAAGGGATGTCATTCCCATTCAAATGCTCCGTTCGAGCCAATAACCAACCCAGCGACCCGCCGACCCGGATATCCTCCTCTTCTTCACTTGATAGTTGAGGCCTATTTACCGATTAGACTTCAAATATCCAAATAACTACTTCATTGAGTAATGGGAGTGACAGGTAGCAATTTGGATATTGTGAGAGACATATTGTTGGGATCGAAAGGCAGCACTCATGGAGCAGTAGGAGTGGGCAATGGGAGAAATATTATTGGGTTTGGAATGGTGCAATGGCAGAGTAGTAGAGAGTGACGACCGACGAGCAGCGGTTTGTGGTATCTGAAGTTGTCGGAGGGAAGAAATTGATGAAACAAGTGCTAGAAACGAAAATTAGGAGCCGTGTGTCACTACTACACAGTACATTTAACAAACTAATATCGATTCCCATAAAGGATCCAGGTTCTTTTTACCATCTTCACACGCACCTATCAATTTGGACTTTGGAGCCACAAATTAACTATGAAAGAATGAGAAAATGAAGCTATGGCTACCGATCCTTCTCGAAATTGAAATTGAAATCTTTATGTTTCAAGTTTGTTGTTCCTCCTCTGAACTGATGGGTGACTGGGTGTATTCCGCTAAAATTTATAGCAATTTCAATTCAAACATAATAATAATAATAATAATAATAATAATAATAATAAAAGAGCTTTAATTTTGGATAAATTTCTTAAATTACCTTTATGATTTAGTTAATTGACTAAGTGTACCCTTACTGTTTAAAAATTGACTATTGCTACCCCTACTGTTTTCGACAATTAACTAATACTTCCCTTACCGTTAGGACCGGTTAACAGAAACACTAAAAAGACTATTTTACCCTTTATTCTTTTTCAAATTTTCAAAATAATATCAGAAATATTTACTAACTCGAGCAATTTATGCTTGTTCGCCGATTTACTTGAATAAGAATGAATTTGTGGGAAGGTGGTCTGTGATTGAGGGACTAATGCCCTAGTTGAGAAGGGTGCGGTTGTACGTGATGGGTGTGGATTGGGGAACACGGAAGCGACAACCATTTGCTCCCTGGTGGTGGCGGTGGCGGTGGCGGTGGCGGTGAGAAGGAAGATAGGAGATCTAATCAGGGAATACGCCTGATCTAATCCGAATCCAACGACATTACTGAGTGGAATCGTTTTACCAGAGTATGTGATATGTGGCGTAGGTGGTGGAGGAGAGTTTCAGGATTTCCAAAGGTGAATGCTTTACTTACGAAGGGACCTAAATGTTTGAAGCTGCAAATAGCGGAGGAGACGAGGAGTTGATCAGTGGCATACTGAGATCTCCGACAGTGAGTATCTGATCGGTGGCGATTTGGGTTCGAATATTCCAAACCTACTGCTGAGAATGTTGTGAGGATGCCCATGTTCTGGTTTTAGCTACTAGGAAGAAATCAAACGGTATTGCTACTGAGATCTTCATCTCCATTGAGTGCGAGATAGGTTTGGGAAACAAACCCAATCAACATTCCCAGTGGCGCCAATGCATTCTTTCTCGATTTTGCAATGATTGAACTTGAATTAACAGGACCATCCACTCAAGTCAATCAACGATGGCCTTTCGGAGAAATCTCTTGAAATGAACTCTTGAAGCAAATAAGAAGTTTGGGCATATATTGCTCTGTAGCAAAGGACCTACAGTAGATAAATTCTTGAAAAGCAGAAGAAATTTCTAGGGCTTTCTCTATTCTATTACTATTAGAAGCGTGTAAGAAGTTTCGGCATATCTTGATTTGTAGCAAGGGATCTATAGTAGATAAAGTTCTTGAAAAGCGAAAGAAGTTTCTAGAGTCTTCTCTGTTATATATTAACAAAGTCGTCGGTGTTAGGCTTTCCATATCATTTTTTTATTTGGTTTAATGTTTTATATGCTTAGAAGTTGTTCATATTACGGTTTCGATTGAAGAACGACAGGGTTGATTTGGTTTAATTAAAGGATGAACATTATTCCACGCACCGGAGGTGAAGATGTCAGCGGCGAAAATTGTGCCGCCAGACTTCCAAATGTGGATTCCGGGTCTCTTGCTCACCGCATACTAACGAGTATGATTCTCTTTGTTGCAATGGCATTAATTTGTCTTGTTCTTAGTGCGGTGATCAATCCTGATAGAGTTTCTTTGTCTTTTTTCCAGGCCAGTATTCTTCTCTGACGCAAGTCGATATAATCAGCAATCTCAGTCTTTCAATCTTTGAGGTTAAATCTTTTGTTGATAGAGATGGAGGGTAAAATTGGATTTTTAAAAAATTTATATATCACATGCAAATGAATTTTGATGGAATATTAACGGACCTTAACGGTAAAGGTAGAGTTAGTCAATTGTCATAAATAGTAGGGGGAGGGTTAGTCAATTTTCAAACAGTAAGGGTACACTTAGTCAATTAACTAAACCATGAGGATAGTTTAAAAAATTTACCGTTTTGATAATTAACAAGTTGGAAAGAAAACATGAAAAATTTAAACGAGAATAAGAAGATGGTGGATCCCCTGTCCACAAGAACTCTACCCATGTCTACCCACAGAGATGTTCCTCATGTGTGTAGACATGGGCAGGAGATCCGGACTCAAATAAAAGTTTTCGGAGAAACTGCAATGAGCATTGGTTAGAAACAATAATTTAGGAGCATTTTTAGGGGTAGGAGATATTTTAAAAAACATTTAGGTAATTGATTCTAATAAAAGGGAGAGGGGAAAAGAGGGTGGCATGTTGAGAGAGTTAGAAAAGGCATAAGAGATATATGCTAGGAACGCAGGGTTGGAGAAGGGAAGAAAGAGAGGCCTATGTTAATTTGTCTTAATATATAGTAATAGATAATAGATTCCCCGTGTACATACTACATACACTAAACGTTCTCAATTATACTCCTGCAGCTTGGACTCAAATCAATTTATTTTTTGAGAAAAGTAGTCATTTTGTTTCTTTTAAATTATTCCACATTGCCAAAGCAAGAGGACTGTTTTATATGATTTTTTTCTCTATTCCCCTTTGTTTTAGTGTTTGTCCACCTTATACTAATTGATGAATTCTCTCTTATTCCATATTGCCAAAGCAAGAAAACTGTTTAATTTGCCCATGATTTTCTCTCTATTCCCCTTTGTTTTAGGGTTTGTCCACCTTACACTAGCTAATTGATGAATTCTCTCTTCTAGGACTCCAACATCTAGCCTGGATGAGGATCCATATTTGCCTTTGGCATGTTAGATAGTGTATAGATTTGCAAGCAATCAATGTGGAGGTGTCTCCTTTAATTTGTGTCTGCAGACTGCTGTTGTGGAGGTATCTATATATCCTTGTGGAATGCGGTGAATTAAGTCGGTCCTCCAGTTATAGGTCTCGGTTCTGAGTGGCAGAGTGGGCTATGATACCATGGAAGATTAGGCATAGTTGCGAAGTTCCTCCTGGTTATGGTTTCTTCTCGTTTCATTCTTACTTCTTCAGATGTCTTAGCTCATTCTTTACTCGGCACTCAGCCATGTAGCCAACTCCACTTGATATATATTCCCACTACATTCTATACTCTTGATTTGTCCTTAGTGTTCTAGTTATAACTTTCTTTCTTAATGTAATCCGCATTTTTTTCAAAGACTCTTAAGGTCATGTTTGGTTTGAAGGAAAAGATAGCGAAAGGAATGGAAACATTGGAAAACCTATGCAAAGTTTTCCTACATTTCTCTTCCTTTCCTTACTTTTTCCTTCAAACCAAACACAGCCTTAAGTTTACTCCAACTAGAAGGGTGGCCATCTTAAAATTTTATTAATCAACTATTATCAAAAGGGAGGAAGCTAGATTTACAAAGAGGAGGACCTTGTATGGGTCTTTAATTTTCCCTTTCTTTTCTTACATTTTTCTTCAAACCAAACACAGCCTTTTCCTTCAAACCTTGTATGGGTCTTCTTTCAAAAGCTTCATTAGGTCACATGTAAGGATCTCATTGTTAATGTAAGCTACTATTTTCATTTAACTCAATAATTAGTGAATTTTAAGAAAAATGGGTAGGAAGAAACTAGATATTGCGTGAACAAGAAGCTGCATGTATATACATCTGATTTGTGCTGTGTGTGGGAAAATTCAGGGTTGAACTGCCTTTTTTTTCACATTTGTTTTTTAGGTTTTGTTTGCTTGCAGCAAATCTGAATCAGATACAAATTGTGCATCCAATTCAGTTTTGCATCCAATTGTTCATAATTATAATTTGTGCTCTAACAGTTGCAAAATTTGTATATTTTTTTTCTCATTTGCACCCACTGGTAATGTAAATTTTGTATGGTAAAAACTGATGCAAAAAGTTTCACCCCTTTCTACTTTTCTCCCAAACAAATAACCCCTTATTCTCTTTCATATAAGGTGAGAAGCACATCTTTGTACATCTTATTTTATTTCTTACAAATAAAGACGTAGTCTAATCTAAAAGATAAAGTCAAATATGAAGAAACCAGGATTTACACCCAACCGATTCATGCATTTACACTGGTGCAAATGAAATTCCCGAAACTGTGTCTTAATAATAATTTGGGAACTTCTGGTACGGAGGTTTTATTGTTGGGAATAGGGACCATAAGACTCGACATGTTATGGGCAAATATTAAATCCAAACAGTGTTAGACTCATGGCAATTGCCAAATTGCCATTCATGGTCATGGATTTTCTTTTCTAATATAAAAAGTAGTGGGTATGGGACCGGTTAGGTTGGGGGAGTGAGAACATGGTCCATCTAGTGGGCCCCCCACCATTGGAGAAAGCTTCAATGCAAGGTTGGTACAGGACCGACAATGGTTGGGTTGCTTTTGGAGTGACAACTATATTTACCCATCCAGATGGTCCTCTCTCTCTCTCTCTCCAACTGCAAGAATTTTGTACGTACAGTTACCAACCCATTCCTTGAACGTTTTGTTTATTGATGAAAAAAAATCTATTTAATTTCCCTCAAAAATGAAAAACTAGGGGTGGGGAGGGGGAGAAAGGAAAAGGCAAAGCAGCTGAAGATCTAAAGAAATTAAATGAAACGTAAATGGCGTCATTTTCTGTATGCTTCGTTCAATAATATTTCTCATTGCTCGATCAGGAAATAGAATTCCTCCACCTTCTGGGTCCCTTCCTTGTCTGTTCAGAAGAGGCTTGTATTTGGGATCCAGCATCCTGGATCTCTGAAGATGTCATCTTTGTGAACCTGCTGAGCTTCTTCCACCCATTAGTCCATGCTGATGAATGTTTCTTGTTTGACATCTTATCAAACTGTCTCTGCAAGCTATCCATGTCATTTTGTAGTTCAAGGTACTTGGCCTTCATGCTCTCAAGCTCGAACTTAAGTGTGTTGATATCCTTCTTTTCTGTTGCCCATCCCTCCTGGAAGGACTGAGGGGTCCCCTCCAGCAAAGCTTTTCTAGTCGAGACCATGGGCTGATAATGTTGAGCTTCACCCCCACTTTCCTTCAGGTTCAGGGTGCTATTGGCTATGGCATTGCTTATCTTTACCTGTTCAGAGAAGAGTACTTGCACCACCACTCTCAACGGGAGCCTTTCATTTTGGGCAGCATGCATGCAGGCATCCATAGAAAGTTTCTGGCAGTCCATCACGCGACAGAGTCGCTTCCTTTCATGCTCTGAGAGCGTTGGGTGAGCCTGTGAATTTTTGGAAAAGATTGGAAAGTCCAATCAAATTGGGAGATTCATCTATATATAAAATTTGCTGCAATTAATGTATTGTATAAAGACTATCACTTAACCGTTTGAATTTGCAAATGGGCAGCTACCTATAATACATACTATAGTGATAGTTAATTACATTAATTCCCATGTACGGATACCCAATTCATCTTGTTGGTCAATATTAGCATGTAGTGGTGGAAAGAGTTGTCACTGCTAGCTAGTTGACAGGAGGAATATATATACTACTTCCTCTATATATATCCATACAGGTTTATGCTTCTCAAGTAAGTTTCTCTGGGAACCATTCATTCTGGTAAAAACAGAACAATGTGTACATTTGCTACCACCATCACACAAGGAGAGCTCTCTTGACAGCCCAGGCTGTCGAAACGTAAGACAGCCAAATTAAAGTTTTGTCTCCTATTGGCATTAACTGTTAGGCTTTTTTTTTTATTTTTTTTTACAGTACAAATTTTTGCACCCCAGTTAAGTTTTGCATTTATCTGTTTATAACTATGATTTGCATTCATAGCTACTTGATAGAAAAATTAAGAAATTTGTACTTTTTATCTCATTTGCACTCATTGGCAGTTCACCTTTTGCATCCCAAAAATTGATGCGAAATTTTCACCACCTTCCCCTACATCAATTCCCTCTCATATAAAATGGGGTCCCAACATCTTGCTTCTTACCTCACTCCTAAACAAATAATCCTCCTCCTACCTCTATTGGAGATAACATCATTTTATTTTTTACAAACAAATAAAACAAAGTCAACACTGAAGCAGAAGGTAAAACAGAATTTACACTCAGCCTATTTGCACCCCCATTCATTTACACTATGCAAATTAAATTGGCACTGCAGACTAACTGAGCCTTAGTGAAATGTTTTATTTATGTATATACAATTTCAAAGCATTCAACTGTTATTGTTATCATCTACACTTGTTATTATTAGCATCACCAATGGTTATAGAATGTTCACAGATGAGATGATTAATATCCGCGCATGATAAGTTATTGTATGTATGAATGGTTTCGAAATCATAAATACAATTAAAATATGGTTAGGGAATAACAGTTAGGCTATGTTTGGTTTGATAGAAAAGAATAGAGAAGCAGAAAGTTGTTAAGGAACTCTCTTATTTTCTACCAATAAACCAACACAACCAAAAGGTGAAGAAGATTGAGATCTAAATTACCTTAAGGTAGGAATCCACTGCTCGGTACAGCCCATCATCGCAGGTTCTTGCCGATTCTGGTAAGGCCTCTGCCAAGACCTGGAACTTCGTCAGGGAGAGGTTTCTGTCTCTAGACACCTCTGTAAGATAGCTGTCCACAAGTTTGGCCACTCTCGTCTTTGCATTAGGAACATTATTCCTAGGCATTCCTTCAAATCCGTTCTTCTCGGAAAATGATTCGCCTGGACTAGAGTGTTCCATCTGTTCCTGAACCAGAAAATGCTCCAGAAGCCTTTGAACAAGATCCACATCGTATAGGGTCTCACCGTTGTAAGAAGGAATGAGAAGGTCTGACAAAGTAGCCTGTTCGAATTGCATTCCCACCCGTTTCTCTAACTCAGTGACGAGAGCAGGAGCAACCTTCAACATGTTTGCCATTCTCAGAAGCTGCAGAAGGAAACTGCAGGAGACACTATCCTTCTGTGGAGGAATTACGCTTATCAGGCTCTCCACAATCAACCGTTGCTCTTTGATTTGAGAATTCCTTTGCTCTTCTTTTGTGCCTGCAGACACGACCATGTGCAGTCCACCTATCCAGCTACTAATACTGCTACTGCTATTACTGTCTTTGCCGCTGCTACCTTCCTCTCCAGTACCTTCTTTTGTCAAGCTCAAGCCCGGAAGCCATTTTGATGCATAGTGCATAATTGCTGCTCCGATCAACTCAAACCTCATTCCTTTAACCTTGATTGCTGTAATAACCCTGACGAAGTGGTCGATCCTGAGGATTGAGACATCCTCAAACCACCAATCTGGAGGGACCTGTTGATTCTTACTGGGGCTTGATTCCTTCATCTCATTCCATTTTGGGCTGGAGGAGATATGTGTAGGTTTCCCTGTGTATGCCCATTTGATATCTTTTGGGTTTGCACAGGCCTTCCAAGCAATGGATTCGCTGCATCTACGAACAATTTGCAGGTTTTCTGCCCATGGGGACAGCTGCTCACTGCTTTTTAGTACTAGAATGGAATCTCTCCATGACGACAAGACTACGTAGCTGAGAAAGGCTTCAGTCTTGAATATAAGGTTGCCTTCTTCCAAATCCTCTGTCATCTCAAGGTACTCTGCAGCGCATCTCAGACCAGAGATGTTGGTGGCAGTGAGATCAACAGCAATCCCATAGCAGAATTTGGCTACCAGTTCAAATGCATCAGCACCTCCTGGAAGATCGTCCAAGACTATCTTGTTGGTATTCCCATCTTCCAACTGATATATGATTCTGCTCATCCTTCCACACCGCAAAAGCAGGGGATACTTGAAAGACACACAAATACAAGCAACCAGAAGTTAAAAGAAACCTTGAAATTCGAAAACTCGGTTGATAATTTTCTAGGATTCAACTTCAAGCCACCAACATATCCATTTGAAGCTTGGAAAAATAATTGGAGGCTCTGGGAAAACTAGAGAACGAAAGCTTAGACTCTGGAGCAGAGAATTAACTACCTTGTGTAAGTAGAAACTAACATCTTCGACATGAACCAGAAGGTCACTCGGAATATCTGTTGCAACAAACCTAATGATAGAGCAACCCCACCAGTTAATTAGCAACTTGCTTGCTCTGTCGATGTCAGATATTCTAACAATAATAGATGGAGAAGAAAAGGAAATCACGTACAGAATCCAGTCATATACGAGTTCATTTTCAAGCTCTAACAAGACAAAACAATGTATTCAAGCATGAAAATTAGAATGGAAGTGGTCTAAATTACCATGACTGATCTCTTCGTTCAAATCCATTAGTCTGGACTCCATGTTTGTTTGAAATTACGACTCCATTTGTGTACTTCCTCTGTCCAGCTGATTCGCTCTCCAACTCCCACATGATGGAAACCTGAACCCCAATAACCAATTAAGCTTCTCTTAATGGAGAACCCCAAAGAGAGAGGAAGATCACGAAACTGCACAGAAACACGGAGCAGGAAGCCGGGTTGGTGAAGTAATCAAAAGAGAAGAAGAAGAAGAAGAAGAAGAAGAAGAAGAAGAAGAAGAGCACATGGGAGTGCTTGGAATTATATCAGATTGTCGGGTTCTTTGAGATTTTTCAGTGCCCTTACAGGCTGTAGAGTGTGCAGTCTCAACGACGTTTTGGGATAATTTTCACTGCATCGTTATTTGTTAAATTTTCACTTTAAGTCTAATGCAAGTATAAAAAAAATGGTGGTATCTTATTGAACGGCATAGACATGGAATAATTTTTCATTGTATTCTTTGAAAACTCATACAGATAAAAGAATTATGCAATAATATGCACACTTAATAGGTTATATGAAGAAAAATATTAAAATCAAACAATAACGAGAAATGTTATACATCATACAATAATTATCATTCTATTTTAATTTTTATTTTTAATTACAATATTGAAATGTTGTATTTATTTATTATTTTTATATAAATAATAATTATTAATTTTTCAATAATAAATACATTTCGATGATAGGAGATTAAAATTGAAGTAAAAGAGCAATCTAAGTATTATTTTTGTTTGGAGAAATAGAAACATATAAATGCATATTGAGCCCTATCTTTTGATATTTAATATGATGAACGACACCTTACCATGGTTTTTAAAACTGAAACGGTCAGGGGTCTGGTTATCGGGTCAAACAGTTTGACCGTTTGAATGAAATGCTCTGCCAGTTCTGATAGAAAAATATAAAAAATAAAAATAAAAAACAGTTAAAAACCATTCAAACGATTAACCGCCCAGTTCAATGGTTCGTTGACCAAAATCAACAGTTTTTTGGGAAAATTTGGTTTTTGAGAAAAACGACTGACCAATTCCCGATTTTTCTGGTCCGGTCTAATTTTGAAAACCATGCACCTTACACTAGAACATATCTTACCAATATGCACAACTACTAGTATGATACATACCCAGTTATAGATATCTATCTACTATGGCACAATATGCCCATAGCACTTGGGAAATATTCTTGGCCTAAAAGCTTACAAAATCGGATTTACCACTATCATTAAGCTGAAGCTTGGGCCACTTGTGAGGCCCACAATATAGCAAGCAATTTCAGAAACAGGTACATCATTATAGAAGGTGATTCAAAGTTCGTTATCCACTGCCTCAACGACAAAGCCAAACCGCCATGGAGATAAAAGCATATAATTGAAGACTGCAAGACCATAGATATAGCTTAAAAGGAAAAATTCAGTATCAATATGTTTTCAGAGAAGCAAATATAGTTGCAGATTAATTAACCAACAAAGCTCGTAAAATTTCTATTTTGAATCGGCTGATTCCGAGACCTTTAACATTAATTTCTTGCTTAGATTTTTGAGATGTGCTACCCCAGAACTGTATAGCCCCTCTGTTATTATCCCGTTTTATCAAATAAATAAATAAAACTTAGTCTAATGTAGAGAGCGGAAATTGCGCAACTTTGATTTGTGGCCTTGTGTTCTTTATCTCTTTGGATGCGCATTTCATGATAAAGGATTTGTTTTTCCTTTTGTTTTTTTTTTTACAATCCCAATACATATGCCTCGTTTGGTGAAAGGGAAAAACGGATTTTTCATGCTGCAGATCTGCGTGGCTAGTGAAATTCAGAGTTGCGAATAGACAGTATATACGAGGCAGCTAATGGTGGGTGGTAGGTAAGTGCAAAATATAACGTGGAAGAAGGAAGGAATGCTCACCATTAATGGAGCCCCCGGCATTCTAAGCATAGAGCACGTTCTCTACCTGTAGACGTGTTAACCAACTCGTGTACTCGGTCCAAATAATAAAGGCTAGGAGGTTGGTTCGTTGAATGGTTTTGATCTTTGAAGTGGGCCAGTATCTCTTGATTGCATGCTGGCCCATCTACCAGGCCCACTTGGTGAGAATGTGTACACACAATGTAATAAAGAGTTGTATAGTAACCAGATCAATAGGCGTTTGCACATTGCACCACTTCATAAAGAACCTTTACTGTGTCAGGGCAGCCTCACGTGAAATCGTCCTCCCACAGGCCACAACCATCTGGCTGAAATAGGTGGGTCTAAAATGATTCTGTCTCATTGAATATTGATTTCAATTCTCACGAAGGGTGATTTGGTGTGACCTAGTAAAAAGGAGACATGTGGACATGACCTGATTAAGAGGTGATAATTCAGACCGGCAAGCCTATTTTGAAATAATTGAGCTCGAGTATTCGGTCACCACAGCACAAGGGCCGCTTCGGCATAAGGCTTACCTCAGTGCAGGGCCACCTCGGCACAAAGCTCACCTCGGTATTCAATCCAATTCGGAACTAAATGACCGAAGTATTGACTCGGGACCAACAACTCAAATCGCCACGTAACTGATTCCCACGTAACCAACTCCAGAGGTCTCTCCAACAGATCCTGAATCTCTCAAGATCACGATGAGCTAACAGATCCTGACTTTTTTGAGATCACGATGAGGACTCATCCCGACTCAACCGGAGTCGGAAGTGGAACGATAAGCCTTACCTGTATACTGCTCCTTTGGAAGCGGAACGAACTCTATCTCCACACCCCGGATATCCCGGGGCTCTTTCGTGAGCTCCAGGCTACGTCAGTAGATAAAGGCACCAAGCCCGATGGTGCAAGGTACGCATGATTTTTCTACTCTCTATCTCTCTAAACTCTCAAAGCTTTTAAGCTCGCATCAGTTTACTAACTTAAGCATCGAAGCGACTTCGTCGGGCTAGCCACCCCGAGTTCTCTGATCTTTTCTTGCAGATTCACCTAGCTCGCCGTCCAACTGGAAGTCAAATCATCCTCCAGCAGGGAGTAGTCAGATCGTGCAACATCAATTGGCGCCGTCTGTGGGAAATCAATCAAAAAGTCATCCCTCTTACAAGCTATCAACTTTCTGAATCAATGGCATCTTCCACTCACGCCGAACAGAGTAGCAAGATGAACGTCTCCGGGGGGCAACCTCAACTTCCTTCAGTGTGCATTGGCTAGTTCACCATCCCGCTCACTGTGCCCCACCTCCCCCAGTGGTAAGCACAACCATTTCTGAGCCGTTTGTGGTTCCCCCTGGAGTTGGACGGTCATAGTTCGATGACCTGGTGCAATGTGTGTGGGCCATTCAGGTCCAAATGCAGCAGGTCCAGCAGTTTCAACAAAACCAATAGTACGTATTCTACCAGCAGCAGTTCCCCCCACTGTCGTAGAGTCAGCAGCCGGTTCCACCTTGACACCCGAGGGTCCAACAGAACCAGAACCGACCACGCGTGAACCAGGATATCACTCGATCTCCCCACCGAGTCGAAGAGACTTCCCAAGTCTCACTTCCTCCTAGAAGTCAAGTCTCACCTCGCGTAAGGAGAGACGGTCAGATCACTCTGCCTGCTTCACAAGGGAACCTCGGAAACAGATCCGGGGATACTTAGCTGAACAGGGCTAATCTTCCTAGGCGCTCGCAGCAAGATGGGTCACTTATAGGTAATTGGTTCAGGGTTCTGAGTGTGAACTCAAAGTAAGGCCTCTCTGTCCATGACAGCCAGCCCCAGAATCCCACGAGGAACTAGGAGTTACCTCATAGAAGAACAGTACCGGAGCATACTGAGGTTAGCAGCACCAATGCTGAGCCGATGAAGAAGCAGCAATGGAGGCGTCGCAAGGCACGCCGAACTTTAGCCCAGAACATCCAGCTTGCGACACTGAACCAACAACAAGAACAAGATAAAGGTAAGGAGGAGGCGAGCTCAGTAGCTACAAAGGCAGCTCCTCCCCTACTTTCCGGGTCGTCTCCCCTGTCTCCCGAACTCTTGGCGACCTCGATGCCCAAAGATTTCAAGATGCCTCCCCTGGACAAATATGACGGATCCTTTGATCCTAATGATCATGTGGACTCCTTCCAGTCCCAGATAAACCTAGTTGGGGCTGACGAGTCTTGCATGTGCGTGGCTTTCTCCATCACTTTTAAGGGGGTAGTTCGGACATAGTACCGGAACCTCGCGCCGGGATCGATCAAGAGTTGGGTGCAGTTTGCAGAGTTATTTACCTCGCACTTCATCACCAGCAAAAAGTGCCCGAGGTCGCAGGAGAGTCTCCTCAACGTAGTTCATCGACAAGGGGAGTCAATTAGAAGCTACATCAAATGTTTCAATGATACCTGCCTGTAGATCCCTGACTTAGACTCGTCGGTAAGACTAATAGCAACCAAGAAAGGCAAAACTCAAAGAGAGTTCAAATGGCATGTGGTGGCCAACAAACCTAAAGACATCATAGAATTCCTCAAGCTAGCTGACCTGTTCATCGGAACCGAAGAAGAGATGAACCAAAAGACTAACAACCCGGCAGAGAAAAGAAAGAGAGACAGTGACAACACAGGTAATGACGAGCATAAAAGAAGAAAGAGTAAGTCCCCGAGTAGAGAAGGAAACAAGTCTAGTGCCGATCTCCTTCGCGATCTCGCAAGTCAGGTCGGCACTCCAGGATCCCACCTGTTGAAATGGCAAACTACACACCTCTCAACGCAAAGCGAGGAGAAATCCTAATGGCCATTAAGGACTCCTCCTTTGTCAAGTGGCTTCCTAGGTTGAGGGGAGATCTAGCAACAAGAAACAAGAACGTCTACTGTCACCTCCACAAAGATCACGGGCACAGTACGGAGAACTGCAGAAACCTCCACGACGAGAAAGAGGAGCTCATCCGCCGCGGGCACCTGAAAAACTTTGTACAGCGAGAAGAAAGAAATCAGTCAGATCGGCCAGCAGATCGGCAAGGAAACCAAAGAAGGAATGCTTCCGAGTCCAGTAACAAGCAGAACGAGTTGCCGCCAGGGCAGTTGCCCGAAGAGAGACCGATCCATAGGGTAATCAATATGATTACTGGTGGATCCATCATCGCAAGGTGCACTTCAGCAGTCGAACGAAACTCAGTCCGCGAACTAGAAAGCGAGGAGCAGAACCCGCCAAAGCGACCCCGACTTGAAGACCTGATTTACTTCACGGAGGACGATGCACGCGGGATCCAGCATCCTCACGACGACACCTTGGTGATAAAGCTGAGGCTAAACGATTTCGAAGTCAAGTGCATCCTGGTGGACTCGGGTAGCTCGACAGACATATTATTCAAGGACACATTCGACAAGTTGCAGCTCCGGGAATGCGACCTAA